GGCTTACACTGAGAGCTTAACCAAAAAAAGAAAAAAAAAAAAAATACCATTGAGTTGATTATGAGACTTGGCAACTCCTTTTGTGTCATAATAGAGCTAAACTCAATTTTTCAATTACTGTAATCTTTCAGTAGAGCACCAGCTTTTTTTTTTTTCAAGTCATCTCTATGTAGATTAGAACCATCAACCTTCCAGTTAGTATTGGAATGATGAACCATTTGCATCATCAAGGAACAATGAGTGCTTACTGTTTACTGGATGAATTCCCCTTGGAAAGAAGCCTGATTGAGAAAACAGATTAAAAATCACGTTTAATGTACATCTTTTAGCTGTAAGATCCAGTCAACATGGTTCTTTTGAGGGCTTTTTTTTTGCTTTATTTTGTTTTCCCCCTTTTTTTATAAATTGTCGTTAATAATGCCTTAGGATGGTTAATTCATTTACAAATACATATGCATACAATATGCATACACACACACACATATATGAATCATATATATATATATATATATATATATATATATATATAGCATAGTTTAATATATATGGTAGGACATGAACATAATGGGAGCAATATAGGTGAGACTTCAACAGCAAATGCTAATACTCACTAGCTGTGAGCACATTAGCTAAATATTCTACTTATCAGTTACTTCATCTTTGGGAAGATGGGATAGTCAAATTAAATCTAGAACTGTTCAATACAGAAGGTACCAGCCTCCAAATTAAAAGCCAATTTTAAAAATACACAAAGATTCAGTTTCTCAGTCACCCAAGCCACATTTCAAGTGTTTGATAGCCATATAGGGTTAATGTCTGTTGTACTGGATAGCAGATATATAAAATACTTTAATCATTATTGGTCTATAAAGTGAGCATCAGATATAATCTAGATACAGTACTGGGGATATATTAAACAAATTGGAATTCTAAAGTCAGGATTTTTGGATGTCATAAACCTGTGGAGAGCTTGCTTTATAAGTCCAATATCATTTTTTTTAATGTGAAAATAATATGAATTGTCAAAGGAATACTCATTAACTACAGCATTTAGAAAAGAAAAAAATAAATTTTATGGAGAAGAATGAACATAAATCAGACTTGGAGGAGCTGGCATCCCAAATATAAAACTATATAACCATGTAAAGGAGAGAAATATAAAATCATCGAGATTACCAAGCTTCATGATGAAAAAATCAACATTCACTTATTTTTGTTTATATAATTTGCTTCACGCTTATGTAAATTTAAAGTTTAATGTTCTAACCTTCTTTGTGGAAGCCTCTCCTAAATTTACTGTCTGTTAGTAATGTATTTATAATACTTTTTTGTTTGTTTTTAATTTAAGATTGTAGTTATGTTAACCTAATTTGTTTTTCTTGATAAAGTTCACCACAAATTTATCAGTTTCATTAATCTTTTCAAAGGATTCTTATTTTGTGTTTATTTTTTTGTCTCCATCTATTTAATTTATAAGCTACATGATTTTATCAGAAATATTCAGACTTTCTTCCATTTTAAAATTAAATTTAGGCTACAAAATTTCCTGTAAGAAACATCTTAGCAAATAAAATCTAATGATATATAAAAGGATGGTACATCATAACAGAGAAGGATTTATTCCTGGTAAAAATATTTGGCTAAATATTTGAAAATCTATAGGTGTCAATAATCACATTAAGAGAATCAAGACTAAAATACATGACCGTGTATCAAGCTACTCAGGAAACTAATATTCAGTATACATTCATGGTAAATACTCTTTGCAAATTAGTAATAGAAAATAATTTCATTAATAAGATGCATCTACAAAATGACACATTTTCTGCCTATGGAAATTAAAAAGCACCACTTTTGTGTAGTAGAATCAATGCTCTGAAAAGCTATCCATGCACAATACAGTACAAACCTGGCTGAATCAGATGATCAAAGAGAAAAAGGAAAGGGACACAAAGGGCCATGATGAGTTGAACCAGGGAAGAGAAAAAGTCAGGGTCACTTGGAGAACATTGGCTTATTAGGCCAGCTTCAGGACTGGAAGAAGTCTGGAACTTTTTCACAGTGGGGAGGTGACAATTAGAAATCACAATAAATTAAGACATCTGAATGTTGCTAAAGTGGCCTAAATTCAAAAATAATCCCTGCTAGTGTCTCAATGATGAAAAATGTTTCCAACTGTAAACCCATAAAAATTTCCAGACATTAAGGACCAGAAGAAGTAATTTTGTCCACAGAACAAAACAAAACAAGTTTAAAGCAGTAAGAATCATCAGACCAAAACAAAACAGTAACAACAACAAAAACGCTCATGGCCATAGTATAAAGGAGTGCACAGAAATCAAATTTAGAAAAACCATGGATGAAATGTCTCAGAAACTACAAGATGAACTTTTAAAAATATGAAAACAATAAGGATTTATGATTTTAAAAATAAACAAATATGAGGGGTGGGGGGAATCAAAATGTATATTAATGAAAAATACTCAAAACCAAAAACCAAACCCTATAGGACAGAGAAAAATGTCCCACAGATTTTTTTGGTTTTTAATCATCACGGAACTAGGCTGCCACAGCTTTTTGCCACAGAGCGGAGGTGCGTTCCAGCCCCATGTTCTCCCATAAAGTGGCTGGCGGGTTCAAACCGCTGACCTTTTATTTAGCAGTCAAGTGCACCGAGCGATTAACCACTGTGCCGCCAATCAAAAATAGAAGAGATTAAATAAACCTCCGAAGGGTTCTGATAATATCTTCCGGAGTAAACAGGGCGATAAGCGGAAACTGGAAATAGCGGAAACTAGAACGCAGCAGGAGGATTTGAAACGGCTAGAATGCTGCAGACGCTGACAAGGAGCGGAATAGGGACAGAGGCAGCCAAACAGGCGAGCCAGTGCAGAACCCTCATATTTGAAAAAAAGCAGATTGCTCTCCAGAACTCCAGTGGTGGAGACCCGGTAGAAGATAAGCGTTGCCCCTAGAGGAAGTGTCCGCCTTGCTGGCGCAGGGACGTACGTAGGAACGCACAGTCATAGGGAGAACGGAGCACGGGGGAAGGCTGAGACAAACGGACCTCCGGAGGAGGAGACCCGGTGCCGGTCTCTCTCTCAGGGCCTCAAGCCTCAAAAGAAGGGACGCCGGCAAGTTCTAGTAACATTTTGGGGAGAAAACTGCCATGGAAGAGGCTGCAGCTCCCTCAGAAGCCTACGAGGCCGCTGGTGCCTCAGCAGGTGCTGAGGCGGCCGCGGAGGGTGCCTCTGGGCCCGGCCTTCCGGTGCCCGAGGCCTCCGTGGAGCCGGCTGCGCGAGGCCCGGCCCCCACCCTTGCGTCAGGCCTGGGGCCTGCCCAGGCCTCATGGGGAGGGTACAGGCCCTTACGCCTGCAGGGCCGCAGTGGCGGTAGCTGGACAAAGCTGGTGGCTTGCAGATATTTTATACATGGGCTCTGCAAAGAGGGGGAGAACTGCCGCTACTCGCACGACCTCTCAGGTCGGCGGCCGGTTGACAGAAACCGTCACTCGCTACTCCAGGCCTCGGCCGACATAGGCCCTACTACGGCTGCGCAATCCCAGCCCCTGACTCAGGACGTAGCGGAAGCCCCCCTTGCTACTTCCGCATGCTCCTTTCCTCTGATTGGTTCAGCCGCCGAAAGGGGTTTCTTTGAAGCAGAGACAGACACTTCAGGCTATGAAGCTGCCAGAGCAGGTGCAGAATCCTGGGGAGATGCTGTTGAGTTTGTTCCGGGGCAGCCTTACCGGGGCCGCAGGGCTCTTGCCCCCGTGCCTCCCCCACAGAGCTCGGTGATTGAGAAGGAGCAGATGGCTGTGGACACGGGAGAACAGCTTTGTCCCTATGCTACCGTAGGAGAATGCCCTTATGGGGAGAGATGTGTGTACCTCCACGGAGAGACATGCGACATGTGCGGGCTGCAGATCCTGCACCCCGTGGATGCTGCCCAGAGAGCAAAGCATATAAAGGAATGCATAGAAGCGCACGAGAGGGATATGGAGCTCTCTTTTGCTGTGCAGTGCAGTATGGACAAGGTGTGTGGCATCTGCATGGAGGTTGTCTATGAGAAAGCCAACCCCAGCGATTGCCGCTTTGGCATCCTCTCCAACTGCAACCACACCTACTGTCTTAAGTGTATTCGCGAGTGGAGGAGAGCCAAACATCTTGAGAACAGGGTCATCAAGTCGTGCCCACAGTGCAGGGTTACTTCCAACTTTGTTATTCCCAGTGAGTTCTGGGTGGAGGAAGAGGAAGAGAAACAGAAACTTATTCAGGAATACAAGGAGGCGATGAGCAACAAACCCTGCCGGTATTTTGATGAAGGCAGAGGTTGCTGCCCATTTGGAGAGCACTGTTTCTACAAGCATGCTTACCCTGAGAATCTGGAAGAAGAGCCTCAGAGGCAGGATGCTGGAATATCCAGCACTTATTGGAATCAACTTTTGGAGGGCAATATGCCCTTTAAGAGCAATGAAAAGGAGCTTGTCACACTTCATCTGGCCAATCTGTTGTTAAAACGTCTTTTGAAGAGGGATGATGAACTCCCCTTCTCTAAAGAATGGTGGGAATTACTTCTTTTTGAGCTGGAAGAATATTTCAATTTGAATCTAGCATCATGCTATGGCATGTCTAGTCTACTGAGCCTCTGTTGTCTGCTGTTGCCTGTATTCCTTTTATAGACCCATATATCACTTCCAGAGTCTATAAAGAAATTTTTGTAGTGTCCCTGTCTGTTTTCTTCCCCTTTCCTCATATCTTTCCCACTAGGATTATGGTGTTTTGCTGTGTTAAAAAACAACAAAAGTCCTTAAAATTACTGTTTAGTGAAATGAATATTGCTGCCAATGTATAGTTTATCTTGTAATCTCTCTTTATAACATGATCCACTCAATTCTGAGTTAGTGTTTACAGAATTTCCACCCTCATTTTTATGTCCCTCAAGAATAAATGTGACAGGGTAAAGGGAGGAGTCTTAACTGACCAAGGAGTTTTTGCTACTATAACCTTAAGAAATGGACCATTGTGGAGTCCTGTGGTGCAGCTGCACATCTCTATTTATTGTTTACATGCCTGTTCCTTCCCTCATCCCCTATCAGGTACACTTATGTAATTATTTTGTGGTTTTGTGTTTTACTTAACCAGAATCAGGTGCATATGTTTACATGTTTGTATCCTCTTGAGCTTGACATGAAGATTATTTATATTTGGAACTATGTATTTAAGAAGTATCTGTATATCTGCATATATGTGTATATAAAATTAATGTACTTGATTATACATCTGAACATAATTATATTTACCTAATAAAATAAATGCAGAGCTGGAAGCTGAAAATCAAAAGGTAACAGAATTGGCTGTTAGGTAAGTGTGAAGTTGGTGAATAATTTTTGTGTCCCTATACGGGAATCAGTGATTAGCATCTAATAAAATGATTTGAGTGGTTTTGGTCAAACTTGGCAGACAGAACCTAAAGGACACACAAAGCATGCATTAAGTAATTAGAATTGTATGACTCTATGGGGTTTAGCAGGAGCTCTGGTAGCTTAGTGCCTAAGGCACTTGACTGCTAACCAGCTGGCGGTTCAAACCCACCAGCCACTCCTCAGAAGGAAGATGGAGCAATCTACTTCGTATGATACTGCCTCAGAAACCCAAGGAGGGGTCGCTGTGAGTCGAGTCCGACTCGATGGCACTTAGCAACAACAACAACAACATGGGGTTTAGCACCATCTCATTATCCTTTATAGCAAACATATAGTTCTTTGTATTCACTATTTTATCTCTAGCCTTTGTAAGTGGACTTTTGGCAAAGTTATCAACATATAAGTTTATAAAAAGGAAAGAATAATAAAAATATTAAAAGCGCTCAGAATACAAGAAAGAAATGATAATAAAGTATAGGTAAGACAAAAAGCTGAATCTAATACTTACATAGAAAAATTGTAATATACTCCTTAATTAGACTAACTGAAAACAGTGTAAAAAAGCTAAAAGTCAAAAATTTCATACTTGATGAAAATTTAAACTAGATGTTTAAAATACACAAAGTATAAAAATACAGAAACATTGAAAGTAACAGGATTGGGGGAAATGTTAACTAAGTAGATATGCTCTATCAAAGACGAAGTTGATATTAAGGATACACTTTGCCAGAAATAAAGATGAATACTACATAAACATTAAAATTTGCCAGGAATATGTAACTCAGTTTTGTATCCACTTAGTAATATAGTCTCGAGATATACAAATAAATAATAAAAATAGAAAAATCCAAAATCCCAATAGAAAATTTTGATAGATCTCCTTTAGTGACTGAGTAAAGAAGCAAAAAGAAAATGTAAGAGATTTGAACAATACAAAATTTACAGTTTACCTAATTGTACAGAATACTGTATACATCAACTACAGAATATACTTCTTTTTGCTGGGAGTCTGAGCCCTGAGTCCCTTAAGATTCAAGGCTGCATGACTCTCCAACCGACGACACATTTACAAAGTTTATATCATATACAAGGCACTCTTCAAAGTACTAATTTAATTCTCAGATCAACCTTAAAATGTGCTTGCTATAATTTTTCTTATATTAATGATCAGATAAAAGTTAAATTACTTGCCCAGGGTCTGAGCCATAGCTATAAATTAATGGAAGAAATAATGGCGTTCAGATAGTCTGATTACAGAAGAATTGCACTTACCAAGCTTCCTCTTTTGTCCACATATATATGACCTGGACTTGCTGAAGGTAACACAGTTGTGGCCTTTAAATGTGGATGGATTAGCCAGGTTGATCAAAGCTGGACATAAATCAGCTGCTGGGAATGATAGGACATGGTAATCTTGTGGCTGTTGTATCTATAGGCTAATAGACTCTAGCCTACTCCTCAGAATGTGTTGCAGCCTCCCATATGTTTACACTGTTTCTTCCTTCTCTGTGTGCTTACTGATTCTCTGAGTATGCACCTTAGCTGGCTTCTCTAGTGTCTTTGTCTCATTCCTTCTCTCTTGATTCCTCTTGCTCAAATAATTCGCCATACCGAAGGCTCTAGATGCTTGACTATTACTGATACTAAGGATGATTGATTGCAAATGAAAACCAAACATATTCCCGCCCCAAGGGGCCCTATACAGGGTAAAGGGGCTTAGTCCAACCAAACAATAGAACAGATGGGGCACTCTCAGAGTCTGTGCTGACACAAAAGACTCAATAAATGAGCTTTAGGTTGATGGCTACAGTCTCAGGGAAGGTTTCAAGAAATTTTTAAATTCAGCCTGGAAAGCTTTGGGAACTTTCTCCTAACATGCATTGCCTGACATGCTGAAATATGTTTTCATTCAAATGGTATCGTGAGCCAGAAACTTGTAATAAAATTCTGGGGATAATAGTAAAAGATAAAGTAGTCTGGGAGACAGATTAAGATTAATTAGAATTCTGTAGCTTTACCAGTCTTATTGTCTTGAGTAAATTAATTAAGTTTTCCGTAATTCATTTTTTAATGTGAAAAGTTGGTACAGCACCAGCACTATTTTGAAGATTTTTTTTAATATCAAATGTCTGTACACAAAGCTTAGAACATACATAGTATTTTTAAATTGGTATATATAAAATGGGATTTATGTGTGTTACTGGATATGTAAAGGATACAAGAAATAATACTCCACCAAGTGCTTTTCATTTGGGGGTCTTTGGAACTTGTGTTAGGACAGAATTGTTTAATGATTAAATTCATAGACAAGGAATATATTACCCCTATGTGCATAATTTTTAAAAGACCAAGTGATATTTTTTTCAGCAAAAACCATAGGGTTAAAACTAAATACGTGTTTTTCAATTCATTAAAAAAAAAAAAAAAACAAGCAGTAACAATAAAAGTACCAACACATTATTTGTGCTAGATGCCTACATGAGGAAGATAACAATATATGGTGATATTAAAAAAAAAAAAAAAAAGGAGAGGGGATTCAGTCTAGCCATAAAGAACTCAAAACAACAGAGAAGCCACCACTACTAAGGGTGGACTGTGTGTTTCAAGGTCTGACCATCTCTGCTGCAGTCAGTGACAACAGAGCTCTTCTGACACAAAGATTTGATTTGGTGAGTGATTCTGAGTGTGTGCTGGCCACTTTCTCCAGGAGGAGTCATGGACTAAGCCCTGGGGTCTATAGAAAATTATTCTAACTACAACCAAAAAGGTCTGTATGAAGTATGTGTGATTTTCTTATGTTTTACCTGTCTAAATGTGGAAGCTATATGAGCTTACAAATATGCTAAAAAAAAAAAAATTTAGTGATCCTTCCCCTCTAACACATTGAAATGACTTTGTCTTATGGCTGGCGATAGGTTATTAGAGTCATTTACTGAATTTCATTGACTTAAATGAAAACATTTCCAGTTCACAGTTGATGACAATATGCTCCTCTATTTTGTTCTTTTGTAAACATCTTGGGGTGGGGGTTCTGTTCCACAGTTGATGTGAAGCTAAAACTTCATTGTGGGATGTGTTTTAAGTGGAACTGACAAAAGATTTGAAAAATAAACCAGAACTAGTACAGAGAATTAATACATGTCAGAATTTTTGCCATGAAAATATCTATCATATTTTTTGATGTTGATGGAATACTCACAAAATACCTGACTATATAGTTAATCATAATAAAAATCTCTAAGAAGTTAGATAGTATAAACAAAATTCCCTAATTTGAATGCAAGAAAATAAGCCACTATCATCATAAAATCCTTTTAAATATTCCTCTTAAAACTGTTGAGTGAATACAAAAATCATTTTGCTGTTGTTATGTGCTGTCGAGTCAGACCCGACTCATAGCGACCCCTCCTTGGGTTTCTGAGGTGGTATCACTGGGGAAGTAGATTGCCCAACCTTTTGCAGGACAGAATATAATGAAAAAATATATATACCATACTATGAACTATGATACTACTTTATACTCAGAGGAAAACAAATTTGAAATGCTAATATATATTTGCCAAAACAACGCATACAACACAATTACATAGGTATTTAAATCTGCCTATTTTAATTAAAGAGACCATATACACAGGAAGATAAGCAAGAGAGATTTGTAAATATTAAAGCAAAGTTTTTTGGATCAGAAAATGATAATATGAAGCCTAAATCTTTGGAAACAAAATCAATAAATAGATAAACCATTAACCTGATCACTAAAATAAGGAATACTTAAGCAAAGAGGAAATGGTAAGTATGAAGTAGTCATAGATAAAAAAGACTAAGAAAAGGAAGAGGAATTGTTGAACTCAGGAAAGTGCATTTGAAAAATAAATGAATTTAAAATTTTCAATGTATAATTTTAAAAACATCATCCCAGAAGATAAAATAGAGCCAACCAAGTGATTATTTAATGAAAAATTAAAGTTGTCAAGTATGAACCCATTACCCACTTATCCCCACTGCAGAAAAAGAAAAAGGCATTTTCCCCAGACATTTCCCCAGACATATTAAACCTTTAAATAACATCCAGTTGAATGTTGTATAAATCATTCTAGAGAACAGAAGTGCCTACATAACATGAATGGCAAATAATACTGAGATCAAAACATGATCAATGCAGTATAATACAAATATAATCAGAGATCAATCTTATTTATGAATATTGATGTAAAAAAGTCTCATAAAATTTCAATAAATAATGACAGAGTAGAAGT